CTAGAAAGAAACCGACCAACGTACTTGTCAAGAATACAAGTAACTTCGGTTAGTTAAAAGTTAAGGTACGACTAGTGTTCCCTCCTTAATTTACTTTCTCCAACCCACCTCCTCTCTCTCTCTCTCTCTCTCTCTCACACACACACACACACACACACACACAAAATCTCTAAGAAGAACCTATTTGTACAACTCTAGATCTAAGATCTCAGTGAGTACATCGTATATAAATACTGTGGAACCGTCACTGACTCCAATCTCTCCTCTCCTCCTAGGCCACCCATGGAGGACTCCCAGACACTCTTGACTCCTGTGGTGAGCTGTGGGCCTCCAGGAGCCCTACTAACCCGCCCTATCATCCTCACTATGCATCACTGTGCAGATCCCAGTACTGAGGACTGGAAGATACAGCTCAAGAACCAGGCAGCACAGGGACAGTGGGAGGTGAGCCTCTGTTGGGATAAAGATGGAACCCAAGAGAGATCCATGCATATAAGAAAGGGCAATTATGGGAAGGCTTTTATTTTTAAAGCAAAACATGGGAGGAATTTTAGCTTATATTCGAAATTAGATGGGGAGGAAGAGGAAGAGGGGGAGAGAGAGACAAACACTGATTCCTGAGTACGTTATCTAATGACTGATAGGCACAAAGAAAATGATGGTCCAGCATTAGCTAACTCATAGAGAAAGTGCACTTAAAGAGTCTTACAGAAGTCCCTTTGGAATAGACATACAATCTTAGGAGGAGAAACATTTTTTTTTAAAATTTTCAGCAGAAAAACATTGCACCTGGATCAGAAATGTTACATTTACTTGCCAACAAGTACCCAAAACAGGTCTGAACTTAACCTGGGAAAACAGGAAGGTGTGTCCTAAGCTCCACAACAGTGAAGAACAGCTGTGGCACCTGCGCTCTCTATAGCTGCTGCCATCAGAACATCTTAAGGACAGTGCCTTAAACAGGTCTTGTTGTTTACATCAGAACCCTGCAGCTGGCACCTGAAGTTAAGTGCAAAAGGATTTGTTACATTTGACATGAAGATTTTATACCTGATACCTAAAAATTTTGTGTAATCATTACAAAGAGAATTATCCAATCTGTATGTTGGATGTATTTTGTGATTACTTACAAAATTTTTCTTTTAGGAAAGAAATTTTTAGGAAAAAAAGTACATGAACATTCAAACCCCTACTATGTTAGGAAAAAGTAGTGTTAGAGTTAGAAGCATAGCAGGGCATCCCTGAGATTACCTGGAATGTCCTCTCCCTCTGTGGACCTGCTCTCGGCCATGTGAGGGGACCACTCCTTTCCAGAGGATCTCAAGTCCAGGACTGAAGTCTGGGATAGACTTTACCAGATCTAACTTCAATTCCATTTAAGTGTATATGATTTATCTCAAAAAAAAATCCCAAAGTCTTAATTCAAGTAATCCTAAATTGTTTGCACAATCCCCTAATACCCTGTCTATTTCTGGATTTGAGTAATAACAATAATGAAAGGAAAAGAAAAGGAAGAGATGAGAAGAATAGAAGAGGGAAACCCTTATGAGAACACCCTTACACTTGTGATAGGAACGTGGAGCCACTTTATTCTCAGCCATTTCTCCCAGGAGGCTTCAGTAACATGCCGTCAGGAAGTGACACTTGAGGCTTCCCCTTCCTTGCCCTGCTGGAGAAAGCGGCTTCTTTCCAGGAGTCCTTTGGGTCTGGACTAAACCTGGAGGTGCGAGCTCCTTTCTCTCCTTCCCAGTTCGCTGTGAGCTTCATTTTCCGGTTTAGGTTCAGTTGAAGAGGTGATGTCATGGGTGCTATTAAGACACAGCCCTCACTGTAGCTCAGGTGGTGTTGCAAGGCCGACTAATAACCACCGGAGGCGGCTCCTTCCAGAGCTTGGTCCAGCCCCAGGGACTCAGTTTGTGATGCAACAGTCATGTTCGTGCTTTTGACAAATAACCATTTGCTCATGAGCCAGGCCCTCTGAGATGTAGGAAGCAAAGTAGTTATGGTTGCTCCCTCTGCAGAGATGAAGTAGCCTAATGCACAGGCTGAATCGTGCCCACACACAGGTTTTATTTCTCCCACATGGAATTTTCTTTTAAATTTGAATTAATGAAAAGTGAAAGATTTCACATAAAAACCTGAGCTTCTAACTTCTCTTGAAAAATTAAAGGCTGTATGCCCGCTGGGCCTGCCCTCCTGCCTGCATCTGGTGCTTTGGCTGTGAGCACCTTTAGTGTGGACATCTTCACCACAAGCATTTTTGCCACAGAACTAATTGGTCATAAGGCAATTTTGCTGTAAAAGATAAAATAATTGGTTGACAGTTCGGCTTGACAGTTTGGGTTTCATTTCTCCACTAATGCAGTGCTCCCATTTTTATATTACGTAAATCTGAAAGAGGCCAAGGGCTGAAAGGGCAGAGTTGAGCCCACATTTCCAATAGAACTTTGAAGCATCCATTGAGGGATATGTGATGTATATACCAAGAACACACAGCAGTGTTCAGGCTTTCACAACACAATAAAAAGCTATTACAAATATGCATCCTACTATTTAGAAACTGATACTTCTCTTGATGAAGAAGAAATTTTAGCAAAAAAGAAAAGTGGAATGCAAAATGAGATGAATCAACAAGCAAAAAAATGCATACTACTACAAATGAAAGACTGAAAACAAGTGCCTAAGTACAGCCCACAAAATAAAATCAGTGACTTGCACAATATTGCTGTGAGTCAACACACACTTGAAATACATTTAAATATTTTGTATTTCATACTAAAGTCCTTTTAACTTCGTTTTCATTTTTCATGTTTCATTATTTTTTGATGTCCCTCTTTAATTTTTTGCTAGTTTATCTTTTACGGCAAAATTTGCCTTACAGTCAATCAGTTACGCGGCAAAAATGACTACAGCAAAGGTGCCTGTGGTTACAGTGCCTAGAGCCCATTCCTGCATAGCTCCGGTGGCTGAAGCCAATGGAGACTGAGCTCTTTGAACAGGCTGTGCTCAGCTTCACCGCAGTCTCCACCGCTCCTTATCACTTCTGCCCAAACTGTTTCACACGTTCCTATTACCTGGCTGCCCTGGGAGGCATGTGGAATGGTGACCTTTAGTTTATGGATTCTGTGCTTGGTCTTTCAGATGTTTTCTTCTATGACCTGAGCCATTTGGTTAAATTAAAACCTGGTTAAGTTAGTAACTATTTTCACAAAACTCATCAGTTCCACTTATTACTTGCTAAATGTTTTAAAAATCTAAAAGGCTTACAATGAAAAATAACAGAGGGAAAAATATGTCTTAAAGGCACAGAATTTGCCATATTGTGCTTTTTGTAAAGTCCAAGAGCCCATATTATTGAGGAAAAGCAGTGTATTGCTTTGGAAAATAATTGATGGGTGAAGTTGGAAGAACACAGTAGAATGGTATTGTATAATTCCTTAATTTCTCTAATTCTTTTCAAACCCCTCTAGGTTCTTAGGGGGGAAAAGCTACTAGTTATAATGACATTGAAATAAAATAGTACTTTTGGATTAAATTAGAAATTTAGAGATTAAAGCAAATTCTCAAACAGATAACCAACTCAGATATGCTGAAGTTAAATGGATAACATGAATTTCTTTTGGAATTTTAGGTAGATACCAGTAATGTAGATTCTCAGAAGAAAAAAAAATGCTAAATGAAGCTTCTAAATAAAGCATATTATTGATATAAAGATAAGGAAAGTAGGGGATAGAATGATTAAGAATAGAAATAGAAGTATCATAAGGTCAGAGAAAGAAGAAAAGAGCAGGAAAATGAATAATCAAAACCCAGGAGAAGTGGCCCTGCGCCACGCACCACGTTGGCCACCATTCATGGCGGCCAGGAAGCTCCTCGGTGGCTCAGCCATGGCCCCTGCCTTCTTGTTCCACAGGATATAGTGGTGGTTGGAGAGGAAAACTTCACCACCCCTTGCTACATTCAACTGGACGCAGAGGCCTGCCACCTCCTCTCCGAGAACCTTGGCACCTACGCCCTGGTTGGGCAGTCCACCACCAAAGCAGCTGCAAAGCGCCTGAAGCTGGCCATCTTTGGGCCACTCTGCTGCTCCTCTCTGGAGTACAGCCTCCGGGTCTACTGTCTGGATGACACCCAGGATGCCCTAAAGGTAAGTGGCTCCAGCCTGACCCTCCCATCTCGCACCTAGAGAAGATGTGTGTATATGTGTGCACCCAAGTGTGTGGACGCAAGTGTTTGGATTCAAACAATGCAGTTACAGAAACAAATTAGACATTTCTCTGAGGCCGTGCTGATAAATAAGCTGTTTCCATTATGCTGATTCCTCCCAAGGGCTACTTATGTTTACCTTCCTTGATTTCTTTTAATGAAAAATTTAGAAGTGGAAGAATTTGGCAATGAGACCCGTGGATGGTAAATAATCTGCTCCCCTGTTTATCTCAGCTGTGTTCTTCCTATAAAAGGAATTGGCATAATTGCTCACACTGTATGTTCCTCTTGTGTGCTACTTCATTATATGCTTTCCCATTCTTTTTATGAGGACTGTGAGGAATAGGGTTAGCATTTGACAACAGGCTGCTGCTTTGCAGAATAAATGAGCTTAATTCCTGGTGCTATTATTGCCATCCATTTTCTCCCATTTGAAGCTTTAAAGGATAGAGTAAGTGCCTTTGAAGATGTTATGATCTGGAAGGAAGAATAAAAGGAGTATGCCAAGGAGACAAGTCAGATTGTGATAAATGCCTGATGAATGCAGGGTTCTGTGTGAGTTCAGGAGAAGGAGGCATCATATTATTTTGAGGAAATCTGAAAAGGAGCTAACATTTGAAACTGGTCTTGATGGAAGGTAGGGTTTGACCAGTGATAATGAGGGGAAAATGCAGGATTTCTGGGTGAAGGTAACAGCATGAAGAAATACAGAGGGGACAGTAAATACAGACTGTCTATGGGCTTGTTGCTTCCAGAAGGCCTAGAACAGTAGATTGGAGTTTTATTGGGATAAATCTTGATGATCAGAGAGAGGATTGTAGATTCAGTTTCTTGTGTTAATGCAGAACTGCTGGAAAGATGTAAACAGAAGAAAGAGATGATTGGAAATATTTGTTAGAAATATTAGTCTGATGTCAGTGGAAAGATGAGTCAAGTTAAGATAAGTGTGGTAGAGCTGGGGTGGTGACAGAGGAGTTAGAAGAGAAAAGGTGTGAAAGGTCCCATTAAGTAACTCTTGCAGGCCCTGGTGACTCAGCCTGGATGGGTGGGGCAGAAGATCCAGTTTGCCTCTAAGTAACAGTAGCAGACCCAGGGGCAGGTAGCTCTGGAGTGTGGATGTGGTGACACTGCCTTTGAAGATTGAGTTAGAGGTATGAATTAAACATCGGGACAAAAGTGCCCAAAGGGACAGTTAGAAATATAGGTGTGGCTCTCTGAACACAGAGCAGATCCTGAGATACAGACTTAGGAACTAATTATATAATATTGATATTTGTCATTCATGGTCGTTGGGGAGAATATTAAGGGAGAGTGGAGGGTGAAAATACTAATAAAAATAATAAACATTACTGAGAATTTCCTATGTGCCAGGAAGATTGAGATTCTACATATCTTTTTTAACTCTTTTAATCTTCACAACAACCTGAAGGGTATGGTTGTCCTTGTTTTACAGATGTGCAACCCAGGGCACAGAGACGTTAAGTAAGATGTCATAGGTCACACAGCTATTGAGTGGAGAAAACAGGCTTCAGGCTTGGGCAGCTGGCAGCAGTCTGAACTCTCCGCTCCCAAAGTGGGCTGCGTGAAGAGCCACACCCTAGATAGGCACAGGGACGGGGCCCTGCCATTGCACAGGGGGAGGAGGGACAGCCAGCGAAGGAGCTACCGAAGGAGGAGCACCCAGAGGAGAAAGAGAAGTGGGAGAAAAATACATCAAAGAAGCCAAGGGAAGATTTTTTTTCCCTGAGGATCAAGGTATTTCCTTCTGGAGTTTCCATCCAGAGAGTACTCTGGGTCATGAAAACTGTGTTGCATGTTGGGTCCCTGGAAGGGATGAGACGTAGTCAGTCCCTGGATAGATTCTTGATGGTTGAGCCTATAGGAGTTTCAGATGTTAAATAAATGATATGAACACACAGCTCTAGTGTAAAGCTTAAGGTTATTTCTTTTATATTTCCTGCAAATGTGATACTGCTAAGGCACTGACAGGGAGAGAAATCATCCTAGGCTTAAATTCTTCTTAGGGAAAACTGTATTTGTAGGTGAGCCATGGGGTCTGATTAAGGCTTTTTAATAATTCAAAGAAAAATCATGGCAAAAAGCATACCATAGAAGAGCTACATCCTATTTGAAATGTCTGCTAACACATACTTTGTATTCACACACATAGTTCTTATACTCAGGCACCTTTGACCTTTTTTCCCAACAGACACACAAATCCATGCAAAAAAAATTTAATAAAGTAATTTTGACTGTGGTAATTAGTGAAAAGAGATGCAAATGGTCAACATCGGGAAAGATAGATGAACAGGTTTAAGAAGTAAAAACAACCCAAGGCCAGTTTATATCATGGTCAGTGCTTTCCATATAGACATTTATAAATTCTCAGCATCTGGGGATCCAGCACTTAGCCTGAAACAAACATGAATAATGGATAAGGCTTTCCTGTACCTCATGGCCTTTTAATAACACACAAATACCAAAACCCTAGTTATAGTTAAACGGCCTATCCAACCCACCGAAGAGACAAAAGAGTTGGTGTCCCGCCAACACTGCCTGATGCCCACGCTTGAATTGGAACTTTGGGGCTGATTAACTCAGAAAGGCCCATTACCTAAATCCTGCCTTCTTGGCACCTTGCCTGCAAATGTTCCCACCAGTCTCTGTCCCATCGCCCTGCTCCTCTGGTCCCCGTTACCCATCAATACTATCTTTTTGTATCGCCCCTTCCAATTACCTCCTGTTCCTTCAGGCCCACCCCACTCCTCACTTCTGCTCATCCTAAATCCCAAATAGTAGTTCTCTACACAGCACACGTTGGAGTCAGTTTGGGAGCTTTAAAAAAAGACTTTTTTCAGGGGTCCCCACCCAGAGGTTCTGGTCTGATTAGTATAGGTGTTGGGTTTGGTTTTTTTGTTTGTTTGAGCACCACCTGGGATACTCTGTTGTGCAACCAAGGTCAAGCTCTATTATCCTAAACAATTTCACAGGTCTTTTGGAAACTTTAATCCTGTTAGTGACAAACTTTCCTCCATACTCAAATCGTCTTCTCCCCCATTCCTTCACCTGCTCACATTAACCGCAACTGGATCTTCCATCCTTTCTGTCCCTAACCTGCATCCCTTACAGCCCCTGCAGTGAGGACGACACCCTCTGACTAACCACACAGCCAAGAGGAAAAGTTCCACTTCTGGGGCATGGCTGTACTTCTGAACTGGCTGTTTTTGTTTTGTTATTCTTTATTCTGTTACTCTGTGATTCATTATCCATTTCAGTTCCTTAGCACAGAATCCCCTTAACACTAATCTCCGTCCTGGCAGTACCTGCCTCATGGTCTTTCTTCCCACTCACTGTATTCCCATCACCCTCCCAAATTCAGAATCACCAGTCACCTTCAGCTCCTTTGCCCAGATCTACCCTAGTAACCCTCACATCATCCTCATTTATCCACCACCAGTGTAGATGCACTTCCTCCTCGTCAGGAACTGCGCCAAGGCCTCTGCCAGCCAGGACCCCCACCTGTGAAACCATCTGACCTGCCATGTCTCTCATGCAGGTGCGTGTAAGCTGCGGTTTGCTCTGAAGGAAGACCTTCAACCTTCCCTGGCCTTCTGGTCCACAAACCTTCATTTGCACTGACCTGTATCTATAGGGAACTCACTTCCACTCTGAAATCTCTTGCCATCTAAAGCTGCAGCAGGTTTTTCTAATTTCTGTAGTTGCAGGTGACCTCCACTGAGCAAGCCCTCTACTTCTGCTTCTGGGCTATTAAGTTTCTCTAAAAATTCATAAATTTCTGATTGAGTCTCTTATACTCTGAAGACATCTGCCCTGAACTGTGGCTCTCCTGCTACTCCACGGCCCTTTTATTTCTCTCTTCCTGACTGGTGCGATTTCACACAGCTCTTCTTCCGGCTCTCTCCCCGTCGCCCCAAATCCCTGATTGTTCCGCAGCCCCTTCATGCTTTGACCTGACGCCTGTGGTGCCACTCAGGGGACACCCCCTCCGCTGCTGTTCTTCACCCTGCAGACCTTTTATTTCAGCCTCTTCTCACCAAGTCTGAGCTCTGACAAGAAGGAGCTCTACTTGTTTGCACTTTAATCCAGCTCCTCCACCACCTCTACCTCCAGCCCAGCAAATGATGCCTGAAAGTGGGTCTCCCTGGACTTGGTATTTTCTTAGTTACCACTCTGGCCTGGGCATTAATTGCAGAAATCCTCCCAGAATGTTGGACGAGGGTAGAGAGAGAAGTCCCGTACAGCACCCATTCTCAGGTCAGAACCACAGTCTGGAGAAAAAGGCCGTGCCCAGCGCCTCAATCTGAACATATCGGGAGCCTTAATTCCCACTTGTTATCACATGTGCTTATTGTCCATGTGGCTGGGAAAAAAAAAATGAGACCCCACATCTCCCGATGTGTGGGGGGGTCTCAGCAACCCCGGGGCATTCTTTCATCTCCTCACCTACCTCTTTGAGTTCAGCAGCTTTTGTGACAGTTTCCCTGAGTTTTGTTACACTTGGAAGCAAAAATGGTCATCTGAAACTTAAAAGCTGCATTTAGCAATGTGGAAGCATTGATGGAGAGTTCGAATGCGTACAGTTCGACTGCTGGGGTGCAGGTCAGGGCTGCTGGGGGACAGTGGGATTCTTTTCTGCACCGTTTAGGTGGGTTTGTTTTTCCCTTGTGCGTGTGCTGGGAGGACCAGCGGGAGCTGTGTGCCAGCTGAGTCCATGTAAAGAGATAAAGATGCTAAGAGCTGGGGGAGTGGTTTAGAACCAATGCTGTTCTCAGATAGAGGGGTCACTTCTGTTGAAAAGACTGAGTTATCATGGCTTTTCTTTTTACCTCCTCTTCAGGCGATTAAAGCAATAGTGGTATTCTCCTTTCATTGTTTGCCAAGACTTAAATCCTAATGCAAATAGAGCAGAAATTAACAGAC